GTGGCCTTGCCAAGTTGACTCACCCTTTTGTGGGCCATGCAGGGGTATAATTTAGAGGAGGAAGTGGCCATTCCATCTTGACGACCCTTTTAAGTGAGCAAACATGCGGGAAAGGGCCTGTGTGCGCACTTGAGTCTCCCCGATGGACAGTGTGCGCGCATGAGTCAACAACTGTGTGCGCAGATGAGGCGCAAGTGCTAACAAATGTGTGCGCGCAGATGAGTCAAATCCGTGTGCGCGGATGAGCCGCCGCCCATGTGGAGTGGGACTTTCTCAATCAGGGTTCTTGGACAGTGCCGAATTTGCAAAGTTTCATCATGGTCTTTGTCTTCAGCTTGGACGGTTGGACCTTGATTGCTTGGACGCCCCCGCCTGCGCCAGGAATTGTCGTGAATGAGGTGATTCCCAGAGTGAACAAGACTTTGCCCGGAGCATTTAACATCAGAGTCTTGGCAAATGTATCAGATGGACGAGAAGCGGCAGTGTGTTAAAGAAAACAAATCCTAGTTTCTAGAAAGATCTTTGCGGTTTTGCTACTTCTCAACATTCATTTACTGCGGAACCGTGGACATTACATGACCACGACACTTCCAGGCAATGCTAGAATCGGATTATGTGAAAGTACCAGGAACAAAGCGCACAACTCGCTCAATCTCACAACCTAATCAACACTCTGTAAACTCAAACTTGACATGGTTTACGCCATTTAACGCCTATACAACTCAGTTTATTGATCTATTTGAGTACCTGGAAGACGAGGTCTCTTGATCCTCTCTTCGCCTTGACCCACACACCGGTGAGGTCTTCGAAGCTTCACCATCGGCCAAAAGCCTCCCAGCTTTGGGCAAATGAGGAGCCAAAGCGAAAGCGAAAGCGAACACGCATGAAAAAAACAATGTCTGGTATATCCTGGTTGATCTATCACCTCCAAGAAGGCGCCCTTTGTGTCTTTGGAGCCTTCCTTCGCTCGCCGTGTTTTTAGGATTTAAAGGGAGGCATGATCTTCCGAGTCACTGGGTGAAGCACGATGGGATCGACGGCTGGTCATGAAAGTTGGGCAGTTTTATTCTCACACTGCATATAGATGGAGTTGGTGGTTTGGGTTTAAGGCCCGTTTTGTAGTTCGTCCAGTGTTGTCAGGGGGTAGCACTCCAAGCTACCGTTCCAAAGTGTTCCTGGCGCTCATGTTTCCTTTGTCCTGTTGCACTCAGCCGCTGGTTTCGCCAGGATTATCGAGACGAAGAAGGTGATGCAGTCTCGGAGCGACCACTCAGACCGATCCTTGGCTGCGGCGATCCTTGGGGCGAGCCATGGATTTGGCAGTTTGGATGATGACAGGGACAAGGAGGGACAAGGGAAGAGCCAGAGAGAGAGAGAAACAGGAGAATACAGCCAGGCCAACAGCAGGAAGCCACCGTTAGTTGACGCAGTCTGTGAGTGTGTTAATGTATCGTAGTTCAACGGAGCAAATGCTCTGAAAAGGACAAATCTGAGTTGGAACTACTGCTTTAGGTAAATGATGCACCAGCGGCCTACTGTTACCGTTTGACAATGGAAACTGAACTTCAAAGGCACACACACACACATTCCACCTCTTTTACATTTTGACCCACGTGTCCTTCTCGACAGGAAGGGGTTGCCTTGACCCTATGACCACATTTCGGTGTTGAACTCAAACACAGGTTTATGGTTTACCTAAATAAGGAGAACACAAATAGAGGACTAGACAAATAGAGGACTAGCCTTTCAGAGACGACATGGAGAGAAGGGTTTGACTACTCCTTTGCCAAGGATTGCGGACTGTTCTGCCATTCCTTTGGGACTCGGGACAAGAAATATCTGCTGCCGGGAAGCTTAAGGATCGAATTCCGCAGAAGGCACCATTATGATGTTTTCGGTTCGGCATGCGACCTGCTGTGATACGTCAGCAGCGTTTGTCAGTGTTTCAAGCGCCTTTGTGGAAAGGGGCTGTCACACGACGATACTGGAAGGGTGGGTAGCTTTTAATCTGAACCGCCGATCCAGGGGTACTGTATTGCTTGTGTGTGTCACCCCCTGTGCCTAAGGGTTCCACCTCACTTTCAGCAGGTGGATCAGGCTTTGAGTGACTAACCTGATCCAACGAAGCTGGGTCACTGGAAGGGAAGTGGTTGAGGACGCTCAACCATGTACCTGCTGAGTTTTTCACACGCTGTCACCCTACTTTTCCACGTTTTGATTCATGGTTCTTCATGCTACCACCCCAAAACCTTTCTTGCAGCTGAGCCGCGCTCTCGTTTCCCACCGCTGTTCTCGTGAGCTGCAGATGTGCGAAAACCTGTTGTTAAACAATACAATTGTGCCGACTCTTTCACCTTTCGGTTCCATCGCCATTTCTCCTGGGAATTGAGTTAACCGAAAACCAATGTCAGAGTGTGAACCGCTCAGCCGTCCCACTTGGGTGCTGGGTGTGATCCCCGTCACTGGGGCGCTGAAGCCATGCTGGAAATCGTGTAACAGACTGTTCGGAACCTCCTTTCCTTGGATTTTCTTAACTGACTCCTTTTCACCGCTGGATTAACTGCTTCAATAGCCGCCGGGCTTATACGGGAAAAACCATTTGAACTCAACAGCCGCCGGGCTTGTACGGAGAATGAACCCCACGTGGTTTCTACCCCAAACACCCCAACCCCTCCCACCCACTAATTAGGGTAACAGAGGGAAATGGTACTCGGCACACTTGTGTGTCGGTGCCTTTCCCTTTGTTGTCCCTGTTCTAGTCTTCTCTACCCGGGCGGTCTAAGACTAAAGTCCCGCTCCCTAACTGTTGCATTTAATTCACTTCCGCTAAGTAATCAGTAATTCTAGAGTGCTAAGTATTCATACACACACACACACACGGACACACGCATGTACATACACCTCCCTGCCCCCCCACTTTCCTTCTTGCGCTTTTGGTCGTTTCTTGGGCTTTCTCTCAGGCTTTTAGGTTGCTCTTGAGGCTCGTTTCCCTACCCCAGTCAAGGGCTAAGTATTCACTTTTTTCTACTCCTACCTTTCTCTCTTGCCCTCTTAGCGCTGCTCTTTCTGTGTTTCTTTCTTTTGTTTCTAAGGCTTTTTAGGTACCTATTCAGGTCCTTCGCACGAGCGCCGCAAAGCGTGTGTGTGTGTAACCCTTGGAATCATAGGGAACCTTAAGGTTTGGAACAGGGGGCGTGACGGTCGATTTCCTAGTCACGCCAATGAAGCTATGGAAATCGACTGGGTGGAAGTTTGGACGCAAACTTCCGTACCTGTTCCCCTATTTAGGAAAACAGGAGGAAATGGTACTCGACACACTTGTGTGTCGGTGCCTTTCCTTCTGTTTTCCTCTAAGGCTACCCTATAGGTTGCAGGTAGGCCTCCAAACTTTGTAAGGGGTTCTTTAACTTGAACTTTGGCCTCCACCCACTAGAATGGACCCCCAACTTTTGCTGTTTTGATGTCTTGTTTGTCTTGTGCTTCTTGTCACCTACTAGCGATGGCCCCCAACCTGCCTTCGACGGCCTCTAACCTAAGAGCGAAGACCTCCAACTTTGACCGCTTTGCTGTCTTGTGGTTTCATGTCTCCACCTACTAGCGATGGCCCCTCAACCTGCCTTCGACGGCCTCCAACCTAAGAGCGAAGACCTCCAACTTTGACCGCAATGCTGTCTTGTGGTTTCTTGTCTCCAACCTACTAGTGATGGCCTCTCAACCTGCCTCCGATGGCCTCTAACCTAAGAGCGATGACCTCCAACCTTTGCACCTTGTTTTACTCAGGTTTTTTTAAACCTAGGCTGGCGTGTGGCACCGCATTCAGTTCCGTACACCATATCTCAAGTGTGTTTGGCCCTGTGCCAACCCGGGATGAGCCCACAGAGTGCCTCCCGTGGACCCGTCGAACGGGTGTACGTCGCTGTTTCCCTTGCTCTGGAAACGTAAGTGCCCACAGCGGGCGAAGGTGGCCTAGGCCGTACGTACGATGATCTTTGTCTCATCTTTGGAATTCCAAGTTGGCTCATGCCTTTACGTGACCGCAGCGGTCAAAGCAGCCAGCCATTTCGGCAGGGCACAAGGTGACCACAGCGGTCAAAGCCAGTTTAAGGTTCATTGGAACCTGTGGAGAACTTAGCCCCCTTCTCCCCCTGCCCTCCCCTTTCTCTCTTTGCTTTCTGGGGTTTTCCTGAATGTAATACTCAGGATCTCCCCTTTCCTTCTTTGGTGTGTCCCTGGACGATTGTTCGTAGCTGGGAACACCTTCCTTTCTCTCCTCTCCCCTTCTCTCCCTCTCTCTCTCTTTCTTTCCTTCTCGTTTTCCTCTCTTCACCCTAATGCTTTCGTCATAGCTGGGAGCCCTTCCTTTTTGGTGTGTCCTTGGACGCTTCGCTCAGGGTTCCACCTCACTTTCAGCAAGGGAAAAAGGCTTCCAGTGACTAACCTGATCCAACGAAGCTGGGTCACTGGAAGGGAAGTGGTTGAGGACGCTCAACCATGTACCTGCTGAGTTTTTCACACGCTGTCACCCTACTTTTCCACGTTTTGATTCATGCTTCTTCATGCTACCGCCCCAAAACCTTTCTTGCAGCTGAGCCGCGCTCTCGTTTCCCACCGCTGTTCTCGTGAGCTGCAGATGTGCGAAAACCTGTTGTTAAACAATACAATTGTGCCGACTCTTTCACCTTTCGGTTCCATCGCCATTTCTCCTGGGAATTGAGTTAGCCGAAAACCAATGTCAGAGTGTGAACCGCTCAGCCGTCCCACTTGGGTGCATGTTGTGAGACAGACCTAGGACCTAGGCTTTTCACAAATTGGTCTGAAAGACATCGAACTGTTCATTCAAAGCTTAAACACCTCTCCGAACACGAGTGTGCTTATCCTGACATAGTGAAAGCAGGAACATGCAGCATGGGGTGTTTGTGTTTTGAGGATCGTTTAGGTTCTTCAGCTGGAGGTTCTTAACAAGTTAGAAAGGACCCAGCTCACAAGAGAAGGCCCCTAGCAATCGACACATTTTTTCGCGACAAAGAAACATGGAATCTTTTTCGATTTGTTTTGCCTTTCCCCCAGGATCGTCCAAAGGATTTTTCCAAGGTCGTGGCTGGCTTCCACGTGGGTGTGGCAAACATCAAGATCAAAGCTGAGATCCTTGCTGCTGGGCTCCATGATGCTTCGTGTGCGCGTTGGTTAAGGTGATTCTTGGTTCTAGATTCAGCCTGTGATTCATTTCCCAAGGCCTCCCAAGGAGCGTTATTCTGCCACGGGTGAAGATTTAAGTTCCGTGTCAGTCCCTTTGAAGCTAGACATGTACTATGAGACAATCACTTGTGCTACAGCCAGACTCCGAAAGACTGAGGTCAGCTGTTTGTGAAAGCCAGTAGCAGACTATTCACTCCCAAAGCCAAATCAGTGATCACAGAAGTGGCAAATGCGAAGCAACATCGGGGCTTTCAAAATCGCAAAGCAGTTTGCTGTTGGGTTCTTGATTGTGGGCAGATTCGTGCGAATCATTCTCCAAAGCGACCAGGGGAATGTATTTCGCAACACTGGATGCACACGCACACCATGCTCGCACTGTCCAATTTAGCCTCGAGCAATTCCAATGTTTCTGCACCGGATTTGGCTCATTCAACTTCAATTGATCATACATAGCTCACTGTTTTGATTCTGAATAGTTCAAAACAAGCAGTGAGAAATTGCCGTGTTTGGAACTTCTATATAATATTTTCTAATGAGGTCTTCAGGCACCGGTAACACCCCTTATGGAACTTGTTTTGTGGAAATGGAAAGACCACTAGCTCCAGTTGAAGTGTCACGCACAATCTAAGAGCCTTTCCCCATCACCCAGAGCCGCTTGCGGCCGCTGGTGCTCAGGCTGATTGGGGACCTATCATGGACACTTGTCGTGCATTTTTGGCAGCCTTGTTGCCCTCGGCCAAACACATCCTCAACACATCCCTCACCTACCCCTTGCTGAATTTCAGCCCATGAAGTGTCTGTCATAGGCTTTGGGTCAACACACTTCATTGGTGAAAGCCGCAAGTTGTCAGTGGTCCATTTTGTAAGAACCTGCCCTGCCCCTGAATCGTGTAGTGTGATTTCCATCTCAAAGCAGCACCGTTTTGGAAAGCTTGTACTTGCAGTATTGCACATTGAGCATGCCTCCTCCAGCAGCTGCTCTGATCATCAAGACAAGATTGTTTCCTTTGCCATGGCCTTTCCAACCACTCGCCTGTCACTTCTGATTCCTTTTTTGGAGCATGAATCCTCCAGTCTTGTTCTAGATGCTTGATTCCATTCGTGCCGGGTGTGCCCTAAGGATTCTTATCCAGTCATGGCGGGTGTCGGCATCACCATGCCCGATCCGCCGACGATTGAGCACTGGATGCAAGCGGGAAAAAACCAGGGCGGCAGGGCCGGAAAGGACATGCCTCTTAACAGGGTCTGGTTCACACTGAACAAGACCAACCAAACTCGAATTTGCATCACATCTGTAGTGTGACAGCACAAGTGCCGGCTTGGGACATCATATAGTTGAGCTTTCACAAGACGAGGTGAAGCAGACTTCGATCGGGTCTTCCGGCGCCACCCGTCGACCCCCGATCCGTCTCCGAGGACTTCAACCTCACGGGCGTGGCGAGCATCGCGGAGTTGCCTCCGATTCGAAACGCCATCTTCCGTGCGCCCCTGGGCGATGAAAGACGGGTGAAGACAGGTGAAGAGATGGAAGACTGCAGGGGGCGTGAAACACTAGAACTGTGACTACAGTTTTAACATACAACATAATTAATACAACAGTTTTAATCAATCTACGCCTTTACTTCCAAGCACTGGTCCTAGGGGCTACTCAGTCGTTTGAATTACAGTATGTCCTTGAATGGTCCAAACTCCGAGCTGCTGAGCTGACAATGGAGCAAGCTTCTTTCCTTCTCCCAGATACAGGTTCTCATTGCAGACTTTCATTCACGGAAAGTGGCTTTTTCAATGTTTGAAGCTTGAAGGCAAGAACACGGATGAAGAGAAAACGCACAGAAGAAGAAATCACACAACCGCATAGCTCGAGCCGAGCTCTTTGTGCTCAAGGATTGATGGGGCCATCTCCAGCAATTTCGTGCTTCCAAACCGGTTTGGTCTTCCCGCAGGACTGACTACTCTTTGGGGAGAGCTACACTGACAGTCAAGTGCACAAAGTGCATCAAGCACATCACGTGCTGTTTCCTTTCTTCTGAGTAAAACTAAAGGACGCTACTAGGAACAAGGGCATCGCTACTAGGGGCTCCTGTCCTTACTACTAGGAGCAAGAAGCTATTAGGAACAAGAATGAGAATTAGAATTTCATTTAATTCAGCTACTAGAAGCGACTCGTAACAAGTGCATCGCTACTAGTAACAAGTGCCTTACTAGTAGTAACAAGAAGCTATTAGAAACACGAATTCATTAAAATGCCATTTAATTCGGTGCTCCTGTCGCCCGAAAGTGGCACCGACGCGACAGGACGCGAACGTGGGGTCAAGCCGTGGGTGGTGACGGGCCCACCGCCGATTGGACTCCTCCGCGTGAAGGCACGGCCTTTCGGGCGTGAAATGGATTTGATAGGTGTTGTGTTTGAACCTTTTTGTTGATAAAGTCAGGGCGATGTGGGGATGGATGTGGGGATGGATGCATGGATCCAATTGTGGGGATGGATGCAGCACCAAGGAGCACCTGTGAACATTTACACTTCAATCCTGAATTTGAATGCTTGGCAGATCCTGGAACCTTGAGTGTTCACCACCTTGATCCTGGGTAGCTATGCCGAGCGGAAAAGGGTCATATTCTGAGGTCATCAGCGCCAGCAATCTTCCCAATGAGGCCGGATTACGACCTGAATGAAGGGAGAAATCCTACCTATATACTTTTGCTTGGCAATGCGTATTTTGGCTTTTGCTTGATTGGGTTGTAAGTCTTTCGGCCCAAACCTTCGCATGGTAGACTTGTTGTCTTCTTTTGAAGGCACGGATTAGGCCGATGCCATGTGTGCGCACTTGTCCAAAGGATATCATCTCTTTGACATCTTATCCAGCTAGCTGTTCTTTTAGATATGGACGTGGAGTTTTCTACGGACGCATCTTGGAACGGTGGATGTATTCCCATGACTTTATTGTGGTGCTCTTTCAGGAAAGTTCCAGTGGGCGTGAGCTTCTCTTGAAGGTACCGCAGACTTTGGTGCCTTGGGTACTCTGGAATAGAGATGTTGGTATTGCGCAATCTGAAGTTGACGACGATCGTCCCAAATGTGCATGATGTTCCCATGGTACATGAGCGCCGGTGGGAATTTTGGCATCAAGCTGAATCCCAGTATCCGAGAGAGATCGATGAGTCCACCACAGAAAATATGCAATTCGAACATGAAACGAAGGGGCTTCTCCAGAAATTTATCTCGAGATTTTCATTGCGAATGCTCTCCGGAGTGATGATTTCTCTTTGTTCCTTCTGTGAGTTCCTCTTGACATTCCTGTCTCGCTTTCTGCCTCTGCTTTTGTTCGCCTCGCTTGTGCAGGGAGCCAATTCCTCTTCGCTTACAGGTGAACAGGGCGGTTGTGGTAAGAGTGGGCATTGTGCGAGTGATCTTTTGCAAAATGGGTATAGGCAGCCCGGGTTCGACCATGATGGTGAGGGCAGAGGTCATCTCTTTGACGGGGAGATTGTGTCAAGCACACAGCCAGGATTGACTTTTGTTCATGCAGATATTGGAAGTGCGCCGGTCGAGTCTACTTGGCATGCCACTTTGATGCACCTCCTCCTATGGATGATGATTGTGGTATTGGGAGGACACGGGGTTCGCTGGTTTCTAAGGCTCACAAGTGACTTCTGTCATTCCAGGTGGGGTCAAGATAATCAATGCGGATGCCAGAAGAATTCCGATGTCCCGTCCTTGCTGAGTCGTCCCCATTCCATCGCTCGAAAGCTCGAGGACTATCCCGGCCAGTGGGATTTTTGCATTTCGTTAGGAAGTGGAAGTGAGAAAGAAGAACAAAAAAAGTCAAAAGATCACTCAAGACGCCGCAAAAGACCTCCTAGGAGTAATGATGAGGATTGTGGAAATCGCGGCCTGACTTTTGTGTCCTTAGATACGGTAGAGGCACCGTGGACACTCTCCATGACCGGTGTGACACGGTCTGATGAGAACGGGCATTTACTGAACCCGATTCTCTTCCGCAGCATTTTGGGGCGACCGACCGCGGGTCGTCTTCACGACGACCAACCCGGTGTGCGAAGCCATGGCCTCTGGATTCCAGCTGAGGACACAAAGGATGATAGCCAAAGTGATGCGAAGGTTCAGTGCCGAACCATTGTTCGTGTCCATGCATGACTCCATGCCCCGGAGCAATCATGTTAGGCAGATGTCGATCAACAAATGGACACATGATGCTTCACTAATTCAGAATTCTATGCTATGTGAGATTGAGTGTGAATATGTGATCATCATAACCTTGTCTCGTTTCGCTGCCAGAATGACCATGCCCAGAGTGCATTGCCAAACCAATCATGGAGGCTGGCCGGGGATTCTCGATCATGGCAAGGTATGTATGATGCCTCTTGTGACATGCGATACAGGAGTTTCCACGACCAAGAACAACAAAACTTCGCATGCCAAGTCATTAGATGTGGAGGAGTCATTTCATGGCGTACTCCACGAAGGGCTGTCTTGAAACCCAGGGCAACCATAGGAGAGAGGCTTGACTTCGTAAGGGACACCGAAGGATGGATGGCCACAGACGAAATGTCCTTTCTTTTGTCAAGATTGTCTTCAGGTACACAAAGGTTGCATTTCACGGCAGTTGCAGCATATCATTCGACACAGGACGAATTCCTTTTTGAGCATGGACCATACCATATTCCAAATACTGGTACCACGATTGTTCCGGTCCTGTTTGAATGCCATTGGCTTGCACTCGAAATCTGTCGTGACATGAGTCCGAATCGAGTCACATTGGTCCAGACACCACCGTCTTTGGAGGAACGTTTGATCTTCTTCGCATGTCATCTGCTGCATATACCAGCTCATCGTCTCCAAGTTGTGACGAACGAAGATCAGTATGTCCCGGGGTTGTGCGGGTGGACCCTTGCTTGGAGGTGGCTCCAACGAACCAATCGGGAAACGGCCTTTGTTCACCTGGAACGTGACTTCGCGCAGCTGTCGTTGGACCGCCGACGGATAGTTGATAGGGCTCTGGCAGTGTCAATTCAGCATTGGGACAAGACAAACGGACCTGTTGAGCTTCAACATGCAGCATATGTCATTCGTCGTGCTTTCCTGACTAATTTGCTCATGCACCACACATCAGTCCATACGGTCACCGATTCCAACGCCATTCTTGCCGTGGGTCACCCCATGCAATGCTTTCCTGCTGCCAATGACCAACTCCATGCGATCAATTCGGATGAAATGGCCAACCAGGGTCCACAGGCAGCGGTTGCTCCTGTTATGAATGAGGCGATCGTGCAGACAGTGCTGGATCTAACAATCATTGACCCGCGCCACCGGACAGAGGTGCTACGCAATCGATTTCACACATGGGAGGAATTCCACACTGGGCTAGCTCGGATGAATTGGATCATATGACTGAACTATTTCGTCCTTTCATGCCAGGGGCCGTAATCATACCATGTATGCGATGGAATCCAGAGACGCATCAACTACGACAGGTGTCCAGATGTCGATTCGATTGCACGCACGACTCCATCATATACTGCATGATTGCCAGACAAGAGCATTGGTTTGGTTTGAAGCTTGAACGCTTTCGAGGAGTGTCCACAATCCGCATCTTTGATGTAAATCCATTTACTCCCGGGGAATGGAACGCTTTTGTACGTCAGCTAAGCACCATGTTTGGACTTGAGAACATGGCCATCCGGAGTGAGTTCACGATTGTTCCCCGTCTAGAAGGGATGTGTGGATATCTCGCTCTGTTTATGATGCTCCAAGATGCGGGATGCTTTGTGGCGCCAGAATATCAAGCCAGCATGCTTCGCATTCATAATCTCCCGTTTGCAGAGGAATCCATCAATCTCTTGAACAGAGCCCTTCCACTATGGCATGGCACACCGGCTTCGCCAGATTTATGTCATTTTGCTATGGCCACTAGAATTCTGTTTCTTGAGCATTTGATCATGCACGGGTTCTATGATGATTTCACGATTGCTGGAGGACATGGCGCTGGCACTACTGTATCCGGGTCGGTAGGAGATGCCAACATGCTTCTCCAGTAGTCTCACCTTACAACGATTAGCTACAAGGTTCGATCATTTCTATGCTCGTCAGGAGCATCAGCCTGCTTTGCCTCGTTATCCTGCGCCTCGTCCAGACAGGAATCGGGATCGTCGAGCTGATCCCTTTAGTGGTGTCCGCATTGGAGAAGCTAGCCATCCTGGACCTCTGTCAAGGGAGGTGCTAGATCCCCTCGTCTCGGTCATCTCACGACTGCGTGAATTTCGACCTGTCCTCGAGGTGTGTGAGTGTAATGCCAACAATATGTCGGCTATGATTATGCTTGGGGAGATGCAAGAATCACAAGGAGATATGGTCATCGTGACAGGAACCATCGTCCCACATCATTTGTCCTTTCCAGAACACTTCCGCAGTGCATCGTTGATTGCACCACCATGTTCGCATATACTCAGGTTACCAAGGGAACCATCCGCATGCTTAAGTGTTCGTGGGAGAAACAGGGCCGATCGGATCTCATTTGGGTGACTGATGCAAAGATACTTCATTTCCAACAAGGCTTTCACATTGATGTGACAGACCCAAAAACAGCCATGATGTTCCAGCAAAGGAAGGATCCAGCCGAGGCAGGTTTGCTAGTCAGGGGGAACTGTTTTGTGGTGGTTTCTCGGGCTGGTCACAGGCTCTGACATTCGTTCATGCACACGTGGTCGAAACAAAGTCAGTTCTTGCGGTCGATAATGATCCTCAGGCAGCCAAGACGTTCGCGTTAAACTATGGTCGTGGAGACGTCATCAAAAGTCCCAAAGAGGCGGCCTTTTTGCGACAGGTCCATTTGGATGCCGACTCCTTTCACCAGACATTCCAGTGTGATGACAGATCAGGGTGGTGGTGTCAGTTTGTGCCAAAGATTGATATTCTCGCACAATCTCCCCCATGCCCTGCATGGAGTTTGGCACACATTGCCCATGGCTTGAGTCGAGCGGATGGCTTCCTCACTATTGAATCATTCCTCAAAACGACCTTGCTGCAACCGGAGATTGTGTGTTTTGAGAATGTTGCCAATCTGCGCACTCATGCCCACTTCGCCATCATTCGTGATGTGCTCGATTGGTTAGGCTGGCGAATTCGATGGGCCGATACAGTGAATCTGAATGACATCCTTCCACAGAACAGAGAAAGGCTGCTTATGGTTCTAGCACGCGCAGATGCTACAGCGAAAGCTGATTTCCAGTTTCGACCTTGGGTGCCGAAAGAGAATGTCAATTTGCACAACTGCGACATTTTGAGGCCGAAGGAATGTTTAGCCCATTGCCATGTACCAGAGCTTTCTTCAGAGGTGCTTCGCCTTTACATCCACCCTGAATTCATTCCAGGCGATCGACGCAGTGGTTTGAAAGCAGCAAAAGCTTATCGCCTGCGTCGAGCCGACCAGACGGTATCTTGCATTATGGCTCATTACGGGTTTTCCCATGAATTAGGTCTCGAAGTACTGCGGCAAAATGGCTTGTTCGGCAATCTCATCATTGATCACGACATAGTTAGATGGCTGGCGATCCCGGAGATCTGCAACCTAATGGGCATAATTGCCCCTTGGAAGACTAGTCTCGACCTCAAGGCATGCTTGGCAACGCGATATCGG